AGGATTATTAAAAAATTCAATTTTTTTTATAGTTCGATGAGATAAATTGGAATCCCAAGGAAAATATCATATCAGACGGAATTGAATACACCACTTATTTTTTTCAAAATTATTATTAAGATATATATTATACACAGGTTTGTCGTTTTATCACAGATTTTTTTTTTTTTAATAACGCTTCTAAATGCGTTACTCTGATGTAAGTATAATGTATATAATATTATGTTAAAATAGCGTTTAAAGAGAGTAATAATAATAATAATAATTATAATTATAATTGTATTTTCATAACATAACAAAAAAAAAAAAAAAAAATCTTGCGAGAATTGTCAGTTTAAAACACAATAATAATATGTTGAATGATAAAATTTAACGATAAAATTCACCTAAAAATATGAATTCACGACGATCCGTTTATAATAATAATATTAGTATTACAATCAAAATGTATATTGGCAGTTTGAAAACATAAACACGTCGGTGGTGAGACGACGGCAAAAAATGAAAATGAAAATTAACATTATATCTTATGGTCCCGTGTGAAATAAAATGTATTTATCGACTAGAAAAATTATCCTAGAACTTGATATTTTTTTTTGAATTTTTTTAAAAAAAAATTGTATTTATTAAAAAAAAAAAAAATAAAAAATAATCAATTAAATTAACAATCAAACAAAATCTATACTATGTACAAAGTCATTTTATTCACAAATACAGAGATAAAATATAAAGATAGACGGTAAATAGATTATAGATAGTTAGAGAGAGAGAGACAGAGAGAGAGTAAGATAAAGATAGAGGATTATGAGAGAGAAACGTGGGACAAAATATACACATCGTAATAATATAGAATATTATGCAGAATAATATATTATACTACCACGTCTATTTTGTTTAATATTCACGTGTATAGAATAATACAATACGATATTATAATATACTCGGCCTACCGTGGATCGAAATCGACGTTGTAAGATTGTTTTTGAAAATACCAGTCAAAAGTTCTAATTCGATTTATCGGTTTTCGAACACACACACACAATATGTTATTATAATATTACGTCATAATTTTGGTATTATGTAGACGGCCCTGCACTTTGGCATGCACTTGGGCGTATCTTATTGTACTTACAGGTCTTGACTGACGATTTAGGAGGGTAAGTGCATAATCTCGTACGGGGGGTGGTTCCTATGTACTGGAAATCAAAGCTATACTTGCCGACTGTTATAATATTATGAGTTACGACCAACGCGGAAAGAAAATGGGAGAGAAGTTCAAATTCAAATATTATGATAATTTTATTATATTATGTTCTCTATGGTATCGATGAGATGCGGTCTTATTCACACAGGGGATGTTTGCGAATTCGTCAAAGATAACATTGTATCGTCACATGTATATTATTGGGTGGGCACAATACATAAGGTAAGAGGGCGCCATTTTCAAAATACTAATAATATTATATTATTAGGGGCGGCAAAATTTGATTTCGCCTAGTTCACTATTTTCGCTTGAGCCGGTCCTGGGTGGGCACGATTGAGAGGTATTACTTGATTCTCAACTATACATAATACTATCATAACATGTTATGCGTGAGGAGGTTGTGTCCTGCAATCTTGTCCGAAATAAAATCGTGTCATTCAAACAGGTAGGCATAGATACCGGATATAGGTGGCTATTGGCTTAAATCATAGCCTGTATTATATGTGTTTTGTGTGTGTATGTGTGTGTGTGTGTGTGTGTGTGTGTGTGTCTGGATGGATGGGTGTGTGGATGTCATTGGTAGACTATAGACGAGGAGAGGGAACAAACAAACTTAATAATTGAAAATATATAGAAACAATATATACGAGAAATATAATATTGTTATTATGAGTATACATGGTTTATAAAACCTACGTTTCCGAAACCGCACGAGATGAAACGATTGACAACAAATTAAACGAAACGGAACAATATTATTGTACAAAAGAGAAACACGAAATACATAACAGAACATAATAATAATAATATAATGTAACAACATAGTTGCCTACACGATCGCACGCGACTTAAAGTCGCATAATATTGTATAATATAATAATTATAATAATAATAATAATAATAATTATAATAATGATAATAATATTATATAGAGTATACTGAACAACATCATAATAAACGCTCCAAAAGTACAAAACGAAGAAACCACGAAATATAATAATATTATAATATATCATTATGGCGGTACAATTAAACATACACACACACAAAATATAATAATTAGAGAAATTCGCGACGATTGTGAAACCTGTGTCTACGGAAGCGTTTTCAGATGATAATGTGATTATAATGGGTATAATAGAATTAGTAGTATAGCAAAACGGGGGAAAACGATAACGCGTATTGCCGAGATAAGCGCTTTTTGTACTTTTAGGCAAAGCGAAATTCGGATTAAGATGAACGTAGTACCTACACAGCTGCTGATGACGTCTCAATCGCTTCAGAAAATTCCACCCCTATATCGTAAATATCAATTATAGTCGTGTCTACGACGTCTGCTTAGCGACCCGAGTGTCGTACAATATCAATAATATTAGTGTTTTTAAATAAATAATATTACTATTGTTTTTCGCTTTGTCCGTTCCGTGATGAGACGAGAATATGGTTTTATTTTTTTTTTTTAATAGGAAAACAATGTCGCGGACATCCCCTCGTCGTCATAATATTATCGATACTGCAGAAGAAGATTGTGTTGTCTCGTCGTGCTCGTTTTTCGAATTTCCCGAAAATTAACAATATATAATATTTAATTACAGTGCACTGCCCGTAGCTGATAATAATATTATCCAGTTAGGTATCGAAATTATTAATAAGCGACATTTTGTACAATGAACATATTATTATTTTGTCACGGAGTCAAGCTGACAATGAGTTTTACACAATATTTTGTTTAGCAGAATACTACGAACATTAAAAAAAAAAAATTAAATAAATATGTTTAAGAAGGATTCAATGGAGTTATTATTTAACAGATAGCGCATCATATTATTATCGTCTTTCATATTCACAATGTATACAATACAACTATATAATATTATGACGTGAAAAAAACAAAATGTTAAGAAAATAATATAATCACAGACGATAAGATCACAAAAAACAGGTCGGCTGCCCTTTGATTGCGTAGTTTCGAGAAAAAAAAAATTTAACGTCATTAAATTTATATTATTGCCGAAAAAAAGCCGCTAGTGGTTGTAACACTCGTAGTTTTTCCAAAACGTACATATTGGACGACAAAAAAAAATTACAGTAACTGTTCGCGTTGCAGCTACACAATATGATATTATATTGTTATTATTTTAGTATCTACATTGAGCGTGTGTGTTATAAATTATAATAAATTACTTGAAAGCGTTGAGATAGTTATAGGTACCTGGGTATCGAAAGTGTGAGAACAGCGAAACGTACTGCACTCCCGTTAGGTTGAGTTAGGTTACAACAATCGATACCCAGTGGTATGGGAAAAGGGGGTGGAGAAATCCAATAGATGCAATCGATTTATTTCAAAATATTACTTATTTGATCGAAGTCGTAACGGTGTGTATAGATATTTTGGCAAAGAAAATTTTTAAAAAATAATATAATAATTATGCAAATGTAAAGGCGATTTTTTTTTTAAAAATATATATATTTATCTCGTATTCAATTACCTATAACGCATTTCAAAATTTATATAATATGTGTACGGCCATGAAATAATCAATGATAATAACAATAATATTACATAGTATAATATTATAGTATACAATTAGATTTTATTCACGTGGATTGCGGGGGAGGGATATGTTATTTACAACGATTATTGTTATTTAGTTTTTAAACTTTAATTATTTTAATTCAACAGATCGATAATAATAGTAGTATAATATAATTCGATATTGTTGTGTGAGTGTGTGTGTGTGTTTGTTTGTGTGTAATATATTATGATTGTAAAGAGTAGAGCGATTTAATATAATAGAACGAGACACGACAACATGATGATAATAATAATATATTAAGAGACGCTTGCGATGTGTGGGTGTGTGGGTGAACACGACGACGGTGAATTATATTATTGTGATGGGTGACATTCGTGTGTGTGTGAAAGGGTTGTTGGAGAGACGACTGAGTGAAAAGAAGGGAATGTCCGGCCATGAAAAAAAAATTTATGCATAAATAATATAAACGTATATTATTACGTAGCTCTACACACGAACATGTTATAATCTGAATGTACGGAAACTGCGCGACGATTGTAATAAAATTATTATTATTGTTTTGTTGTATATTACGATAAAAAATACGTTCATGAGATTACAAAACAAAACAAAACAAAAACCAACACTTTGCGGAAATACAATATTATTTATCCACTAAATATAATATAATATATGTATAATATCATATTATTATCGACCTCTTAACAAAATGTCAGCCACACCGTCGAGATGAGACTGCACGCGTACGTTAAAAAATCAATATATTTAAAAAAATTCAAAACGAAAAAACGACGACGAGAGTATACGCGCAAAATAACGAGCAGTGTGTTTTTCTTATGTTTATAGTTCGGGGAATAGTTATTAATAATAATAATAATAATAATAATAATTAGGTAATAATATATTATGTTAATATTTATAAATTTGGGCGGTGGCAGCGGCGGCTACTGCTGCTGCTTGTTCGGCGGCGGCGACAGCGGCGCAACAGAACGCGAGGAGTAGTCCAACAGCGACGACGAAGAAGACGACGAGCAGGACGACGCGACTGCAGCGATCGTCGGCCGAGGCGACCGCGACGCTGCGGGCGACCGAAACGATCTGACGACCGTCGCTTTCCGTCGTTGCGGCAGTCGTCGCCGCGGTCGTCGTTGGCGGCTGCTGCAGCAAAGTCCATCGTCGTCGTCGTCGTCGCTGCTACTGCTGCTGCTGCTGCTGTTGCTGCTATGGCGGCGGCGACGGCCACTACCAGACAGCAAGGGTTAGCACCAGTCGTCCTCGTCCGAATCGCTGTGCCGGCTGCTCACCCGGCCACCGCTGCCGCCGCCACCGCCGCCGCTCTTTTGCCGCCTGATCGCGGACACCGACGACGACGACGACGGCTGCTGCTGCTGCTGCTTGGACGACGACGACGCGTACCCGTTGCGCACCGGCGACGGCAGCAGCCGGCCGCTGCGGCCGATCGACATGGCCTGCTCGAAGCTGAGCGGCGGCATGGCCGTCATGGCCATACTCTGCCGGGCCACGGCCGCGGCCGTAGACGTGGACGACGCGGCCACGGCCGGCGGTTTGGGCAGCGCCGCCGGCTGGCCCCGCGTCGGCGACGCGTTCAGCTTCGGGAAGTTTATCGAGGCCGAGTGGTGCGGCGGCCGGAGCTGCAGCGACGACGGCTTGTTGGGCGTGGGCGGCAACCGGCGCCTGTTGCAACCGGCCACGGCCAGCACGGGGTAACTGCTGTTGACCAGCACGGACGGCGGCGGCATCGTCATGGCCGCCGCAGCCGCCGACGCCGCGGCCGCCCCGGTCATCATGGCCGACACGGAGGTCGCGTGGCCGCCACCGCCGGACAGCGACTGCGGCGGATGGTGCGGCCCGTGGTGAGACACGGACGACGACGACGACGGCGGCGGAGGTGGCGCCGGCTGCTGGTGCTGTTGCTGCTGTCTCGACGACGTCGGCCCGGCGGCGGCGGACGACGAGGCCGATGCCCCGCCGCCGCCGCCTCCTCCGTGATGCTGCTGCTGATGGTGGTGCTGCTGCTGCTGCTGCTGGTGGTGGTGGTGCTGCTGGTGCCGGCCGCTGCCGTTCGTCGACACCGGTGACGGGGAACGTGACCGCTGGTCCAGGCTGGTAGTGCCGTAGTACGTGCGGCCGCTCTCCGACCTGTCCGGGCTGGGTGAACGGACCGGACTCGTGGACGCCGACCAAGAACCTGCGGGACAGACGTGAACACGCGCACGACCACGTTTCATCGTTATTATAACATTATGCTTTAAACCGTTTTCATGGTATATTATGTTATTATATAATGTCATTGCAAAAATATATTATAATATTATGCTCTAAGATATAATATTATATAGGTACGTATTGTATAGTGGGTTTATATAGTGGGTAAATATAGTGGGTATATGATACGTCGATGGCTTATGGCACTCATATACTAATATCTCTGTACATATCGATCGAGAGTAAATTGTATTATTGTTCAAAAATATAAATACGCCCAAAATGGAGTGAAAAAGATTCGTTATTTGTAAAACATGAATAGGCAGATGTTTTTTCGTTATAATAATTAAAATGTTCACTACAATTATCATTTATATAGTATAAATCACATACACCCATGGAATTTATATTCGAATGGATCTAACAAGTGTGATTCGGAGAAGAGTTGACTCATAAATTATAATAATATAATAATATTTTGTTCGCTATACGTGCACTATATAAGCCATCGAAATATTTCTGGTTTAGTGTCGCATCAAGTCGAGGACGGTATCGTATCACGAGACATTAACTCCTCGACTGTTGATACGACCGCCGAGTGTTTTGTACAAATGTTGCTTATCCAATGCGTATATTGTATGGAAATATAATAATAATAATAATAATAATAATAATATTATGTATTAAGTGGTTGCGTATATTAATAGCGATGTTGAGCAGTGAAATTTTGGAGACGATTTCGGACAATATTCCCTCGATTTCGGATTTTGAATTTATAAAAAGAATTACGTATCTGAATTGAAATTGTAAACGGAAAGATCGCAGCTTTTTATAATCCTATGAAACAATTAAATAGCCTCGTTACCGTTTGCAAAACCAACCTTAAACATAATTCCAAATTAGCTACCTAAGTGAGCGTGAGCGTCAAATTTTGCAAATAAATATTATGTTTTTGTGTCTATAATATAATGTGATAACATAATATTTGAGAAATGTAAGAAAGTCATTTTCAAGCAAATTTTATGACAAATTAAAATGTCTTCAGAAATTCGACCGACGAGAGATGACTATAAATAACACATTATCGTGTTACCTCTAAGTTTGATCACAGGTCCATATCATAATGTTCACTCTTATAATACCAAAGCTAACCACACAAAATCGGTTCTACTGAACTCAAATTTGCGACTTCGGAGACAACACGTCGCTCAAGTGTAGCGTCTTCTTATAAGTGTACCTACCAGTGGCAGACTTAAGGGGTAACAGAATGATCCCCAACATTGGCCTAGTACATAGGTTAAAAGATTGGGCCGTTTTTAAATATTTGTGGCGTAAAACATGGAAATAGAAAATGGATCCCCCCAAAAAAATTCTAGATCCGCCACTGGTACCTAGTACGAGTGTTGAAAGGCAACAACAACAATTATTATTATGATTATTTACTGCCTCCGATGTTATGTAAAATAGTGTCGAGAGTGAAAAGCGAAGAGTTTTCGATAAATTTCAGTCGAATTTTAAACGAGTGTATATTATTATAACTATTATTGACGGGTTAACAAGCGTATTCGATATAAAATATATATATTATACTGGCTGCATCCGAGAATCGTCTCACGTTTTATTATTGCACATTAATTAATAATAATTGCCAATCGTTTGATTCTGAGAGTTCATATTATATACACTTCATGCTAATGGAGAGTATATTTTGATTTTCCTCGAGGTCAAAGGTGGCGAGAAATCGTACGAAATGCGTTTATAATAATTGTTACAATCGTATTGTATAAACGCAGAGCGTAATAAATCTCGACATTGTGAGTATTTTAGATATCGGCTAAAAAAACAAATAATTAAGAGGACGCCACACCCGCATGTGTTGTCTCCGTCTTACAAATGTACAACATAGCAAAAACTCTTTTGCGAGGGACAACTTTTCTCGCACCATATTTGTTGTAGAACTACCAAATTTTCACAGCACTTAAAGAAGAACTTTATCCGTGCAACAGTGTGCTCTTTTTTTCAATAGCACCATCCAATCATTTTTTATAAGCAAATTAAAAAACCAAATGTTTAGAAGCAAATAACTTGTATTGTATATATGTTATTGAAAAAAAAGCACGCTGATGCACAGATAAAGTTCTTCTTTAAGTGCTGTGAAAATTTGGTAGTTCTACAACAAATATGGTGCGAGAAAAGTTGTCCCTCGCAAAAGAGTTTTTGCTATGTTGTACATTTGTAAGACGGAGACAACACATGCGGGTGTGGCGTCCTCTTAATGCGGACAAGACGACGGTCGACATTTCACTATACAATTTTTTTTTTTTTTTGAGTTGAGGCTTCGACAACTGAGGTCATTAGCCTGAAAGATATTTTTGGTCGGTTATTACTGTGGGCGGATATACGGTTTGGAACACTTGTATATGCGGCCAAGATTTGTCACTAAAAGCCCGAGCCTATATCCGGGAGCTATAGTGACACCTGCAGATGATGCTTGACCTCAGAATACATTAGTGACTGATGCCAAACACCGTACCACACTGGGCTACATTACAATATTATGACGGTTAAACGTGATAAGCTGATGGACTGCTGTCAATAAACAGATGATCCCACGTTTTATATTGTATGAAATATTGAAATAACAAATGCTTTGGAAGCTGCGCTGGGATAAAATCCGGAAAACAGCTAGGTGTGGAATAGTTTTATTTAAAAAAAAATCTAAATTATAATATATTACAAAAAAATTGTAATGTTAAAATGTAAAACGAAAAAACCAATGACCTATAAAGACGATTCTGTAATTTTATCGATAAAAAATAGGTACCTAGTTATGTATAGTATTAAGATTTTCTTGAGAGACCTAATAACTGTGCGGGCTTCGAGTCATCGTACTCGTCGTGGCTTTAAAGATTCCGATATCGTCCCAGAATAAACAGCAATACAGTGGCTAGGTATTAGTTTTCGACGGAAAGCTTTCATTTCAAAACGTTAATATTAAATATTATTATATTAACGGTATTGATATTATGATCAATTTATTCAAAAACCAAATAAAATTCTTAAATTATTAGGCAAATAAACAAATCGTAGTATACTGCAGGATGATTCACCAAGCGTGCTCACCCCTATTTTTTTTTTCAAATAATGTATTTATTGAAAATCTGATTATTGGCATTTTTAAATATGATATTATACTTGACAACCACATTTAAAAAAATGATTGAGATATTTCGTAGTATACTTAAGGAACGTCCTGTGGAAGTTGAAACTTGTGGTTTTCAAATGAGAACCCCTGTTTCAACAACCCTACATTATTTATCGAATAATGGCTCTAACGTATCATAATAAAAATTCAAACCAATAGTTTTCGAGTTGCTTAACTCTGTGTACTAAGGATTATATGTCTCAGATACTGGGTATGCAAGAAGTGGGGGGCTATGGTTATTTAAAAATTTTAAGTAATTAATATTAATTTATCAACGTTTATAGTTTGTAAAATATGTGGTTAGGCGCTATGCGTTGGCTGCTACCAGTCACACAATGTGACTGAGAGTAAGTAACGTCCTCTGCTACTAGTTCCCTGATGGGTGACCACCCGGGTTCTTGGTAGCAAAAACCTTGCCACACATACACGTGTCGCTTGTCTACCGTAACAACCTTACCGTATCAATCCTACCAACCATAGTCCATAACCCCTACAAAGTAGCTAATGGATAAAGTTGCCAACTCTCAAGTAAAAAAACAAATTTGTAAAAATGGTCCAAATACTTAATTCGTTAATAGTATTGCATCTATTTTTTAAGAACTATACCCTAGATATTATATTTTAATTAGGTACATAAATATTTCAAAAAAAAATTACCTACTAATTAAATCACAGTAAAAATAGAGGTTCTTATTTGAAATACAGAAGTCTGTATCGCCACAAGACACTGCTTAAATAGTACGAAAAATGTCGAGAATTTCGAAATACTGTCATAAGGTATATTTGAAAATTCCGAAAATCAATATTTAAATAAATGCATTGAAAAACGAAAAAATGGGGTGAACATGTTCGGCAAATTAGTCTGTATGTAAACATTGAGTATTCGAGTCAAATCATACTGTATACGCATATTTTAATGAGTGTAATAATAATTGACCAACGAAACTACTTTTTGAATTTTTTATTAGTATGTAAATGTTTTTATTATTTCTGTTGTAGTATAATAATATTGTATAGTATACTGTATACAGCTCATGCGGGCGAATGATTATGTAAAATGTACACAAAAAATAACTTAAATCTATACCTACTGTATTAAAAAAAAAATAATAGCGTAATAAATAATATAATACCTAATATACTTGTATTGTCAATAATATATGAATTAGTTGGAAAATAATAATAAGATGATGTATACATAAACATAGCAAAGTTAGTCAAACAACATTAAATGATCAAAATTATGTCACAGTTGTGTTACAATATTGTTGATAATATTAATAATAATAATAATAATAATAACAATATATTAAATTTCGTAATGTGCAGTATAGTATTATACGCGTATGTACACACTCGATAGAAATGCCGTTAAAAATCTGAACGAAATACGAAATTTCAAGTACAACAAAAATAACAATATAATCATCGTACAAGTCTATATATATATATATAATTATATTATAATATATAATATTATGTACTATAATATGTGTATCGATTTGCAAGTAATAATAAAATGATATAATAATGATATAAAGAAAAAAATACGTGCAATAATAATTGTACCGTTATCCTTATGTCTGACTTCGAGTACCTTGACCTAACGAAAAAAAAAAAAAAACCACTGACGGTTTACCATCGAATATGTCACATCATCATCATCATCATCATCATATATATTATGCTGAATATATAATATACATTTGATCGTTACAATTCCGAATATCGGCGTGCGTCGGTCAAACACACAAATTATATACATTATAATATATCGTTGGGCCCGCGATTTGTATTTAATACAATCCATTACTAGGG